AATATCATGTGAAGACATGGGAGAAAATGGCCAACTACAAGCCACGGGGAGAGGTCTCAGAAGAAACCCCCATGCCAACATCTTGATCTCTGACTTCTAGTCTCCACAACTGGGGGGAAATACATTTCTATTGTTTAAACCATCCAGTCTAAGATACTTGGTTTTGGCAGCCCTAGCAAACTTATACAGTAGGGTTGAAATCTGGAGAAAGATTAAAAAGTAAAAAAGGAGAAACCTCCAGGGGAAAAAAAATACAATAAAGAGGTCAAAATGAGTATAGACGTAGATGAAGAGTAAAATTTTGAAACATAGGTTTACATTAGTGAAAGTCACCTGTAACTACCATTGTGATAGATAGGATTTTCTCGGGTTTTTTTAGTATTGTGTCTTGAAAGACAAATAAGCCTTTCAACTTTCACATCTCTATCTAAAATTTGCTTTCTCAGAAAGGTCTTACCTCACCACCCTTTCCAAAACAGTGTCTTCTACCCCAGGTCATTTTCGAGCCCTTCACCCTGCTTGGTTTTCTTCACAGCACTCAAGTCTAAAATTGTAAAATTTATTTTTAACTTGTTTATTATTGCCTGTCTCCCCACACTGGAATGTGAGTTCAATAAGATCAAGGACCTCATCTAATTCACTCCTTTCTCTTGTACCCGTAACAGTAATAATTAGTAGGCACTCCTTACAGATCTACACCTAATGAATGAATTGCTCTGAGAAATGCAAACAACAGAACCTTCTTTAAAAGGCATGGGAAAGCCAAGAAGACAATTCTGGTGAATACTGCAGGGTAGGATTCTGTCTGACTTCCCCTTGCTTCAGGGGCGATAAATCTGAGGCCTTGAGAAACTACCAATCCTGTGTGAGGGGCTGCCCAGCAGCAGATGAGAGAGGCTTGTACACACACACACACACACACACACGTGCACGATATGTGCACTGTGTTAGCACCATGTGAAAGGGAAAGTTGGATTTAGGGCAAGAACATTCTTTTGCACAGCAAGCCAAAATCTCATGGGGATAAATGTACAAATAAAATGCTGAGGAGTGTCTAAAGTAATATGTATCACATTATTCTGTTATATACATTACGGGTCACATGAGGAAACTGAAACTCTCTGCAGCCCTTCCCAAATATAGGGAACCATTTAGGGCTGTTCAAAATGATTAGGATTGGCGACTCTGGCACCAGAATGAATAACTGCCTTGGTTCAGCTATTCTTTTTTGCCATTTTTAACAAGTACATTTTAATGGCCATTATTGTTTTATTCATGTTAGGTTTATCATTACTGCAGTTAACCTCACATTTATTTTGGCTAGTATCCTTCTTTGAAAGTCTTTGACATTTTAGTTGGTTTTGATTTGTCTTTTTGGTCACACTCCATTAATAATAACTTAAATTTGAATGGTGCTTTTCAGCTTACAAAAAAAAATCGTATTATCATTTGTGTCCTTGAACAGCTCTGTGGGAGAAGCTGAGATTATTATTTCTTTTTTATAGTTGCTGTTTTATAGGGAAGGAAACTGAGGCTTAGTGAAGATAGGGACTTGCCCAAAGTCATAGACATGGTGAATAGCAGAGCTACAACTCAACTCCAGGTCTTTGACTTCTTCTTCAAGGCTTTTCTCATAATGACATGAAACCCATCACTAAGTTGGCCTGACTGGCAAAGATCCACTGTCCACACACATTATATATGTCTATGTTCATGCATAATCAAGGGCACGCGCACACACCCACACGCACACACTCACGCACGTGTGGTATCAAATAGAAATCTAAGAAAACAGCGACTAGAACTCACATTATTGTGTCCTGCACCCTCAGAAAAAGGAAAAAGAGGCAAGAAAACCCATTACCACCATTTCTCCCAGCAGAAATTCCAAGGCTCCTTCTTCCCGCCAGGTGTTTGTATAGCCTTACACAAATCTGATGTTCTTTTGAGTGATTTGGAGAGAACCACCACACCACTTTGACCACCAAAAATATCCTCAGGGACAAGAGGGAAATTAGTAAGTGTAAGTCAAGCGGTAAATTCTAACCAGGGCCCCTATATAAATATTCAAGTTAAAACTGAACAAAGTTTATTTAAATAAAGAGCCAGAGAAATGGCAGATGGCAGACCTAAAGAGGTGGTTTTCAGGAGAGAAAGGCCAAGCCTACAAGAGGAAATAATTGTAGTAAAGAAGGATCCCACTGGGCCTCTGGTATTCAACTGGTCTTCCCAGGCATTTTGCTTCCTTCCAGTTTTCCAATGTTTCATTAGATTGTCCTGGTTTAAAGATTATTAAGTATAATCCAAAACATTCACTGAGTTGATGGAAGGGTGAAGGGCCAAGCATGCTAGCTTATTCTTAAAGACATCACCACAAGCTTAGGGTTTAGTAACTAAATTCAGTCATCCCCAAAGATGGAATTAAGTCCCAGCTTATACATCACCAGGTATTACCATGTATTTCTGATATGGATTAACATTTTCAGCTCTCTAGTGACTGCCTTAGACATTGAATGTTAAGGACTTTAGAGAACAATTGAGTCTTATTTTTAACAAAGAAGTTGAAGGGATCTCTTAAGATATATAAAACTGAGAAATAAGGTCCGAAGTTCTAGTCTTCTAAGTGGACAAAGTAAGGAATAGTGGTATGTATAGTACACTGTAATTTGTGTCTTAAAGGTCTGTGTAGTATATGTGCATATTCTTGGAACATCTCCGGAAACATGAAGAAAATGGGAAAAGTTGTTGCTTCCAAGGGAAGGGATTTAAGTTACTGGACAGAAGTGGGTGGGAAATTTACCTTTTTTATGGATATCCCTTGCTACTCATTAATAGTTTATACATCTGTCACGTCTACTAAAAAAGTATAAGCTCTGTGGGGGCAGGGCCCATTGACCGTATTATATTTATCTTTGTAATCCCTGGCTGGGTCTAGCATTGTGTTTGGTAAGTAGTCAATAAAGTTATCATTGAGTACTTACAGCAGATGTTCTTCTTTTCCCATCTAAAATAAAACTAAGTATTACCGAGTATAAATCAATACTAATTTTGTGGCTTTTTCCAAATGGTTTATAATAATTAATCATTCTTAGACAGAAAATAATTCCTTTCTATCTCCTCCCATTTACCAGCCCATGTATTATTTCAAGTACATTTGAATCAACCAGTTCTTGAGACTATTCTGATTTATGAAATGGAGGACATTTTATAAATCATTTTGCTGACAGATGTTTTGGGGAAAAATGACTAGTTAGTATAGTTTAAAAAATTGTAAAGCAGTGAATTTTGTGGTAGAGATTCCATTAAATATTTTCTTAGGTGCTTTTTATTAACCAATTCTTTTGTAGCCTGTTCTCACTCTTGGCATTACTCTTGAATAGGATGTCGCAAAGTCAACACATATTTTCTAAGAAGTGGAAAACTATGATCCAGAATTAAGGCAGAAGCAAAGAAAACAAACTCACAGACTGGAAATTATAATTATTTAGAGATAGAAGTTTATTCAAAGTTCTCCAGAATATTCTTACATTAAAAATTGTGAGAACCTTGCCACTTCTTTCTCCAGCATAATGATGACACTCCATCGAGGATTCAGATTTTCATCAAGACCTTTTAAAGGTGTGGGGAGCACCTTATTACGTCGTGTGAGTACCCTGGAGAACAGACTTCAATGTGTACCACACTTACCTTCTAGTGGGCCTTTGTGAGCACTGCAGTTCCCTGGGCTTTTGGGTTTTCAGCCCTAGGCCAGAGGTCTTTTCGAGTTGGTTTTTTATAAACATAGAAGCCCCATTAATATTTATTCCATTAACTGTTAAACTGCAAAGGATGCTATTAAAGGGCTTGTACAGCTTATTCTCATGAGTAGTTAAACATCGTTGTTTTCTTTATACAACTAGTTTTGCCTTGTAAACTCCTTTCTTTCATAATAGTATAAAGACAAACATCAGTGCACTCCAGGTCCAATTAGGCAAATTCTAAATTAATGACTTTATAGTATTTAAGTAGAACGAAATGGCATTCCTGTATGTGCATAATTATGATAGTGATTTTTTAAAATATTTTGGGACTGTCACATGAAGTACCTTCTCTCCAATTCAGAAGACTTCCACAGTTTTCATTACTGTTGTTTGCTTGCTCTTTAAATCTTACATTACTTTGTGACCACACCAGAGCAAAAGGCAGATGAAAAATCCCAGCCCCCGGCGTAAAGCCTATCAAATACTAACGGTTTCCACTTAGAATAGAATTTTGGCTCCTACTAACAAAGCCTGACTTGCCACCAAGTTTGTCTCCTTTTGGACAATGTACCCTAGCCATTAAGATTAAGTTTAGTGCAAATGTGTGACACTCAAAATAACAGCGATTTAAAGAAGATGATAAACCTTTAGCTCTTTCTTGTGTAAACAAATTTCAAATGTAAGGATTAATAGGGACCTTCATGTTCAACCAAGGCTGAGGTTTATTCTAGCTTGTTACTCCACCATGCTCAGTGCACGGATTTCACTTCCTGGTCCCAGGTGTCTGGTCTGTTTCCAGGCAACGTAATCACATTTCAGCCAGCAGGAAGGAAGAGGAAAAACAGGGCCACTCTTTTAGGATCCTTCTTGGAAGTTGTACCCGTTACAACTACATCCAGTTGGACAGAACTTTGTCACATCACCACACCTGGCTGAATGTCTTTATTCTGGGCTGCTCTGTTCCGGCTAAAAATCAAGAGTTCCAATACTATGGACGAAAGCAGAATTGATATTTGGGGATACACAGCAGTATTTCCCATAGCTTATAATCCCACCAATTGCCTTCATTTGACAGTTCCTAATCTTTTCTATTTTTTGCTTATTTCCGAGAGGTAACATCATCCTCCTTTTCATTTGCCTTCCACGGGTGATGTTCTGGTGATAAAGATTGTTTCCTTTTTCTCCCCCTTCTTTCTCTAGGTAAACTCGTCACTTGGCCTGCCAGTTTTCACCATGTTGGTGCATTCATTCCTTCCGCAGGTGATGGCTATGCCACCTGGCCCTGCACTGCTGGGAGTGCTGCTTACCATTTCCCTGGGCTCCATCAGGCTCATTCAGGCTGGTGCTTACTATGGGATCAAGCCGCTGCCACCACAAATTCCTCCTCAGATCCCACCGCAAATTCCGCAATACCAGCCTCTGGGCCAGCAAGGACCTCACATGCCTTTGGGGAAAGATGGCCTTAACATGGGCAAGGAGCTGCCCCGCATGCAGTATGGCAAAGAATATCCACATCTACCCCAATATATGAAGGAAATTCAGCCAGTGCCAAGAATGGGCAAGGAAGCAGCACCTAAGAAAGGCAAAGGTAACATCATATTCCTGTGCTGTTATGAAACAGCAGCTTTCCAAAATCCGAAACTGTAAGATCGGGGGAGAAGCTAAATTTTAGAAATTTTTATTTTGGAATGTGTTACTGACATTGTTTACTGTGCTCTAAACTCTATCCTTGAAAAGTTCAAGACCTAAAAATACAAGCAAAATTACTGTTTTATGTTGTGCTTTAACAGCATTAAATGGCACAAAACGTATTTTTATTCCCTTATTCATTATCTATTCCAACATTTGGCAACTATTTAATGAGCATCTATTTTAGTGTCAGAAGCTGGGCCAGATGCTGGGGGATTAAAGCGGTTGGGGGGGTGGTGGTGACAAGCCTACAGGAGGCTGCTGGAAGGTGCGGAGAGCAGGACTGCTCTGCCTCTTCCAAACTTTTCTTCCCTGAACCTGAGGGAAGCCAATCTGGATTCACTCCCTCTCATTGACACTCACTCAAAAAGGGTACTTCTGATTAAGACGGTTGAAACTAGAGATGGACAGGTTATCAATGCAATTTCTCAGCATCACGATGACCTTGAGTGAAAATTGCACATGACGTGGTGCAGCAATATATTGCCTCTGAGAATTAAAAAAAGAAATCCATTATCTTAAAGAAACAGCTTTCAAGTGCTTTTCTGCAGTTTCTCAGGAGCACAAGGTAGATTTGGAATAGGAATAACTTCTAGTTCTTAAGAACCAATAGCCTTAAAAGATTTCGAAAAAAGTTTACAGCATCATCTAGTGTACAAAGAAAACTTGTGCTAGAATACCTTTTAAAAAGTATTTTTGAATACCATTAAAACTGCTTTTTTCCAACAAGTATCTGGCTAACTTGTTTCTGCTTCAATAAATCTTTGGAAAACTCAAAAACAGGTGACTAGTCAGTCTTCTTTACTGGAAGAGCAGTGTTGTTAAGGACCTGCTGTGTTAGAAATATATAAATATGAAAGCACTTTGTGAACCAGGTGCTGGATAAATGCCAGTGTTTTTAAGAGCGCTTTAATTAAGCTACTACACCTGTTAAGCAATAAACTGAGAGGAGACTATAAAGGGTAAGGACTGCATATAGAGATGAAAATTTTTCCCATTGCCTTCCAGCCATATTCATTAGTTATTCAACACCTACAAAATGCTTATCACTGTGAGAGACACTTTTTTAAAACTTCATGAGGTTCATCTGGATTCCTAGGAAACCTAGCAATTGTAGGAAAAGAACTGCATCGGCATAGCAATTCCCTTTGAGGAAGTGGAGGTCATTCCCACTGGTCCCTGAAAAGGCAGGAATCTCTGTCTGGGGTACTAGTGGATTTGGTGCTAAGAGGCCTAGAGGCCAGAAATGAAAGACCTGAAAATAATATAACTACTCTATGTCAATTATATATTTCAATTAAAAAAAAAACACCTCTCTGAAACTACTTTTCTTTGTAAAGTAAGATCTGTTGAGAAAATCAATGGCATAGGTAAATAAAAATGCTCAGTAAATACTAAAGCATCATAAAACTTTTGAGTTGCTACAGCTGGTCATTCAAGAAACCCTAACTAAGAACAGAGTACATTCCAGGCACTGTGCTGGACACCAAGGAATCCTGATGAGTAAGACATGACCCTGCCCCAGACACTCTTGATATCGTAGTATGTACTACACAATTCACTGCTTAGATATAACATGTCTTACTAGTATGAGACTATCGACTTAGCATAATTGAAGTATTCCCAATTTTCCTCTCTTCAGGAGCTGATATTCCACTTAGGGGATGGTCTCAGCCATTTGTTCTCCTTCCTTTCTTAAGTGGCCTGCCTGGCTTTTGGCACTTCCTGTACTTATTCTGATGGGTACCAGATTGCAATAAGAGAATTTGCTAAGAATACGAGTTCTGCAGTTCTATTTTGTTCCCTGACAGTAGGTCAGTGAAAAATATAATGGTCAGGATTAAGATGTGACTACTGGTTAACATAAAACTTTGAGGCCATAAATTTCACTTATGTTTCATTTCAGTAGCATTGAAGATCCAGAGTTGTGTTACTCTGAAAGGCACAGTATAATCATCATAACAGAGATGTGCTTTGTATTTTGATAATAATTTGTGAAAGCACAACGTCTTTCACATCTATTATCTAATCTTGTAGCAGGGCCATAATATTCTTGCTGCACAGAGAGGCAAGCTGAGACAGTGAAGGCCCAAGTGGCCCAGTCCAGACTTCAAGACCAAGAAGAGCTTCCTGCTCTGCCCAGCTCAATTCCTTCCCCACACTGCTTGTCAGCCTCAAGTATCTTACTCACTTCTCCTGTTTGAAACCCAATTTGCAAATGAGAAATAATTTATTAAAAATTTGAATTCATATGAGACTTAGGAAATCCTATAGCACATTAAAGAAATTAAGCAAAAGTATTTGGCTCTAGAGGACAGATGTCAAAGATGTTATTTATTATTTATTTTTTTTTTAAGATTTATTTATTTATTTGAAGGGAGAGAGAGAGAGCACATGTGCACACATGTATGCGGGAGAGAAGCAGAGGGAGAGGGAGAGAATCTCAAGCTGACTCCCTGCTGAGTGTGGAGCCCTAAATGGGGCTTGATCCCATGACACTGAGATTATGACCTGAGCTGAAATCAGGAGTCAGCTGCTTAACCTACTGAGCCACTCAGGTGCTCCATGTGGAAGATGTTATTAAACCACATACAAGATAAAATACTTCTATTACATGATAATTACTTTCCCTAACACATCATACTGTATTTCAACACAAGAGGAAATATTATTTAGCCACAAATTATTATATAAAAAAACAAGGACATGGAAAAATATAGCATTAAATAGAAAAACTAATAAAAAAATAAAAATGGAGAATGACTCCATTGTTTAAAATACACACACATGCGCGCACACACACACGCGCACACCTAGAACATGAGATGGAAGTACATATAAATGTCAAGTGATTATAGGCAACTTTGATTTTTCTTTATCCTTTTTTGAATTTTCCAAAATCTCCACAGTGAACACACCATAACAAAACTTGGAGTTTTGTACTCGGAAAAATGTTTCTTCATACCTTTTAGCTTTTTTTCCTTAACCAATGCTGATAAAAGCAGCTACAGATATCAGTCCTCAAAAAGTCGTCATGACTTCCTTGAAGAATAATAAATATTAATTTTTCCCTTTTTTCCCCGCCCTCTCTGTTCCCTCTCCCCCAGTAGAAATACCATTAGCCAGTCTACGAGGGGAGCAAGGTCCCCGTGGAGAGCCTGGCCCAAGAGGACCACCTGGGCCCCCCGGCCTACCAGGTCATGGGATACCTGGAACCAAAGGAAAACCAGGGCCACAGGGATACCCAGGAATTGGAAAACCAGGTATGCCTGGAATGCCAGGAAAGCCAGGAGCCATGGGAATGCCTGGAGCGAAAGGTGAAATTGGACCCAAAGGGGAGATTGGGCCTATGGGGATCCCAGGGCCGCAAGGACCTCCAGGGCCGCACGGACTTCCTGGCATTGGAAAACCAGGTGGGCCAGGGTTACCAGGGCAACCAGGTGCAAAGGGAGAGCGAGGTCCCAAAGGACCACCAGGACCTCCAGGCCTTCAGGGTCCCAAAGGGGAGAAGGGCTTTGGGATGCCAGGTTTGCCAGGCCTCAAGGGTCCTCCAGGGATGCATGGCCCTCCTGGCCCTGTTGGACTTCCAGGAGTGGGCAAACCCGGAGTGACAGGCTTCCCTGGGCCCCAAGGTCCCTTGGGAAAGCCAGGTCCTCCAGGGGAACCTGGGCCCCAAGGCCCTATTGGGGTCCCGGGAGTTCAAGGACCTCCCGGGATGCCTGGAGTTGGCAAACCAGGCCAGGACGGGATCCCTGGCCAGCCAGGATTTCCAGGTGGCAAAGGGGAGCAAGGACTGCCAGGGCTGCCAGGACCCCCAGGCCTTCCAGGGATTGGGAAACCAGGCTTCCCAGGACCCAAAGGTGACAAGGGCATAGGGGGTCTTCCTGGGCCTCTAGGACCAAGAGGGGAGAAAGGACCAGTAGGTGCCCCTGGAATGGGGGGTCCTCCAGGAGAGCCAGGCCTGCCTGGAATCCCAGGTCCTATGGGTCCTCCAGGTGCTATTGGTTTTCCTGGACCCAAAGGAGAAGGTGGGGTTGTAGGGCCACAGGGGCCACCAGGTCCCAAGGGCGAGCCAGGGCTTCAAGGCTTTCCAGGAAAGCCAGGTTTCCTTGGTGAAGTAGGGCCCCCTGGCATGAGGGGTTTGCCAGGTCCCATAGGGCCCAAGGGGGAAGCTGGGCACAAAGGTTTACCAGGGCTCCCTGGTGCTCCAGGGCTGCTGGGACCAAAGGGAGAACCAGGAATCCCAGGGGATCAGGGTTTACAGGGCCCTCCAGGCATCCCAGGGATCGCAGGCCCAAGTGGGCCCATTGGACCACCTGGAATGCCAGGCCCCAAAGGGGAACCTGGTATCCCAGGGCCCCCTGGGTTCCCTGGAGTAGGGAAGCCTGGAGTAGCAGGACTTCATGGGCCTCCAGGGAAGCCTGGTGCCCTTGGTCCTCAAGGCCAGCCGGGCCTTCCAGGGCCCCCAGGCCCTCCAGGGCCCCCAGGGCCCCCAGCTGTGATGCCCCCTACACCACCACCCCATGGAGAGTATCTACCAGATATGGGGCTGGGAATTGATGGAGTGAAACCCCCCCATGCCTATGGGGCTAAGAAAGGCAAGAATGGAGGGCCAGCCTACGAGATGCCTGCCTTTACAGCTGAGCTGACTGCACCTTTCCCACCTGTGGGGGCCCCGGTGAAGTTTGACAAACTGCTCTATAATGGCAGACAGAACTACAACCCACAGACGGGCATCTTCACCTGCGAGGTTCCCGGAGTCTACTACTTTGCATACCATGTTCACTGCAAGGGGGGCAACGTGTGGGTTGCTCTGTTCAAGAACAACGAGCCCATGATGTACACGTACGATGAGTACAAAAAGGGCTTTCTGGACCAGGCGTCTGGGAGTGCGGTGCTGCTGCTCAGGCCCGGAGACCGAGTGTTCCTCCAAATGCCCTCGGAACAGGCTGCAGGACTGTATGCTGGGCAGTACGTCCATTCCTCCTTTTCAGGATATTTATTGTATCCCATGTAAAAAAAGAAAGAGAGATTTAATAGAAGAAAAGAAAATGACGCACCGAAAAAATCCAAATGAAAAACATAATTGCTTCAAAACATTTATATAGTTGGAAAGTTATATTTAAGTGAAAATCTAAACCATCATGTACAAATAAAAACTAAGATGCATGTTTAATGCTCTGCATAGCAGCCTGTAATTAAAAATGATGGGATAGATTTATGTATCAAGTACTGACACTTGTGCTGTACCCACTGGAATCATATTAGCTGTTGTATTGTTATATGCTTCCATGATAACCTGCTTATTCAGATCAGTCAAAATATTTCAGTATGAAAGATCATAGCTAATGAAAGTCACTTGCTCACATTGTTTAAAGATTTATAAATATGGCTTAATGAAATGTCAATGATAACAATTATATACCGTATTTACTTGCATAATTTCCTCTGTCTTTGGGCAGATGTTTTGCCAGGGAAGGTGGGGGAGGAGTTCTGCTGTGCTATAGCCCCAGTGGGAGGGAGTCGGGGGGAGCAGTAGGGTTTTAGTCCAAGGGCTATTTCCCTCCCGTCAGAGGCTGTGTCTCTTATCAACACGAGTCCTCAGAATTGTGTATCTCATGTTTCTAAAAGAACAAGTGAGCTAATCGCCTGCCGTATAATTTACTCAGTAAATTCTGTGTGCCTCACACTGGATGAGACGTTTGAGGGACATAAGACAGTGCCCCAAAAGGAGCTAAAAAAACAGTTGGGAGACAGGAGCAGTAATTAACTCACTTATTTCTTAAGGATCCTTTTTGTTTTATTTTCTGTAATTTTTTTTCTTCCCTCCATATAATTTCCACTATGACCCAACTAATATAAACACATGGAAGTCATAAGAAAAAAATAACAACTTTCCAGTTTTGTGAAATATTCATTATCAACAGTTTTTAATTATGTTTACATGTGTATAAAAATCCCCTTCTTTTGCCTACCCATACAAATGACTACAATGAGGTTTCACCCATGAAAGGGGTATCGCTATTTTTCAGTAGCAGTTGAATTTTGAAGAAATTTCCTGGTGTAGTATATATGCAAACTGGCATGTTGTCTCAGGTTCCAAAGTCAATTTCCAAAATCCAAGCCATCCTTTATGTGGGGAGAAAAAAAAATTTCAGAATTACATAGGAAAATAACTTTTTTTGAAAAAACAGTTTCTCAAGTTTTAAATTTAAAAATGGATGTACTAGTGTAGGTACTAAAACTGTAGGAAAAGAACTGTTTCTTTAGAAGCAACCTGTGAAGAGCTATCTGAAATGTCAAAGGGCAATAAGAGCCCGTGCTGCTTGTGTCACCTCACACTCAGCACAAGTCAAGAGCCAATACAAGTTTAAAGAGAAAAATAAGTATCTTTCCAGGTTTTCACTTAGGTACATACTAACTGCTGCAGGCATTCAAATCTGGTCTCAAAACACAGGCAAAATATTTCAGTCAGCTATGAGTCTGCTGCTGATACTATAAGCCACTGGGGGAAATAATGTGGGGCTGTGGTCATAGAATCTTGTATCTGTTCCTCAAAATTAAGGGTGAGAAGTTGAGGGGAAAGGTACAGATGGAAAAATACACAAATAAATACGGTATAAACACACATGGAAATGTGTCTATATCAAATCTGAATCATTTTAACCATCAAGAAAAATTCTCCTCAACCTAATAGATGTCTTTCCCTTACATGGTATACGAGCACCATTTCTTCTCAATTTCTTAAGAAGAGAAATGAGTTCATTACCAGAGGGTTTCTTATTCACTGCTAATTATATGACAGATTTTCCCATCAAAAGATACCCGACCCAATCTTCATTTTCAAAGCAGACAGTGCCTATGTGGTCAAACATCCTTCAGATTGGTCTTGAGGATGCTGGTTTTGGACTGATGACTATGGAGACAAGGATCCACTGGGCTCCTTCTGCTGAATAGCTGCATTGGAATGGCTTGGAAGCAAGTCAGATCAGCTGATCTGTAAATCCATATTTATCTGTACATGTATGGGCTTTTTATTTCCACCAAGTAAGAGAGACAGTACCTCCTTAGTTAAGACCAAATTTCACTTTTTAAAATACCTTCCAACTTATTTATTGGTTGTTACTCAATTGCCTCTCTCTCTCTCTCTCTCTCTCTCTATATATATATATATATATATACATATAATGTGTGTGAGTGTGTATATTATCAGGCATATGCTTCTAACTTTTAGATGGGGAGGAGCAAAATCTATGCCAGATACTGTGTATTCTACAATGGTGCTAATCTCAGAGCTAAATGAATTACTCCATTTAATTTAAAAAAGAGCTTTAAATAATTATCTATGTGTCTGTGTTTCCCTTTTAAGTGTTGCACATTATGCTAACACATTAGTGTAAAAGCAGATGAAACAACGACATGTTCAAAAGTCTAGGGGTAGTGCTATAATCCCTATTCAATTCAAAATCAGCTAGAACTTTTCCATGTGAAATGGACCAAACTGGCATTATGTTATTTAAACACAGAGTTTTAATGCAGTATGACATCCCACGGAGGGAGAGAATGTCTGTAGTGGGTGACTGTTCTCAAATATTTTACAGAACACCATGAAAGGTGACCAGACTGGTGACTTTTTTGAGTTTCCATGATAGATTTGAGACTTGTCAATAGCAAATCATTTTTGTATTTAAATTTTTGTACTGATTTGAAAAAAGACTTATTAAATATCTTTAAAAGTATGTTTCTTATCTTGTTCATATCACTCAGCGGACACTGAACCTCATACTTTTTTTATCCCCCAGTGTACTAATGAGCAGCTGAAACAGAGACCAAAAACAATCACAGCTTAAACAGAACAATTATTTCTCTTTAACATAACAGCTCTGAGCATCAGCAGTCCAGGGCTCATGTAGTAGCTCTAGTGAGAGCCCCAGGTTCCTTCTGTCTTGCCGGTTTTCCGCCCCAAAGGTATTGCCATCATCCCCAAAGTCCAGGACAGCTAACCATCACAGCCACATTCCAGCCATTAGGAAGGTGAAAAATCAGGAAGGAGAGGGCATGCTCCCTAATTAAAGAACTCATGCCAGTAGTTGCTTACAGTACTCCCTCCCACATCCTATTGTTCTGAATTTAGTCACACTGCCCAAAGCTGCCAAGAGAGTGAGGGAAATTGAATATTTTTTCAGGGTAACAACATGCCAGCTGAAATTCAGGGATTCTCTTAACATGGAAGAAGGGAGAATAGATAGTAAGGGACAATTAGCTGCTGCATCTGTCACATCCATCATAAAAGAAAGAACTGCCACAAGCCTCTCTCCCTCCACAAGAAACCAATCTTCAAGTATTCTATTTTAGTTGGCCACGGTAGAGCCAAATATTCTGAGTGGTGAGCAGAGCTACAGAGCAGAGGCAGCCCTGCTTCAAGAACCTAAGAGTCTTAAAAAGCATCACTGGTAAGGAAAGAATTCTGTTGTGATGACTCATCAAGTTCAAAACTATTGTAACTTATGTCTAGAATATTACAAAAGGATTATTCAAACCATTCCATAAGCAAGTATCACCAGTCTGTGGCTGATTAACTCACTTGCTTAAACCATCAGTCTGGAAGCTCAAGACCACAGCTTCCATTCCCATTTAAGCCCATTTAGTTCTATTTCATTCCACAGCTAAAGACTCTTCCATAACATGGATCAATCATCTTGTATGCTTACGGTGTTGGTCACAAAAGTAAACAGAAGGATGGATACAGGAGACACACGCAGGGAAGAATAAATGGTTAGAATTCAGAGTACCAGACAAGCAGGGCAAATCCATCATGACAATGGGTCCAGAGGCATTGTTTTATGTTAAAACAAAACACAAAGTAGTCCCTACTTTGCACTTGATACCACTAGGCAATGTGAGGGATACAAAAGCAACAGAAACTGGTATTTTGTGAGTGTGTGTGTGTGTATGTGTGTGTGTGTTTTCTGGGATGGGTGGGTGACAAGACCAGCTGGAATAATGGAAATGACCGGAGTAGATCAGAGAATCTATTCAAGAACTAGTAAAGGAAACCAAGTTAATAACAAATGAAGGGTCAAATGATATAGGCCTTTACATATAGGGAAGAGGCATTTATATTTTATCTAATATGCAGTAAGAAGACATTGTAGGTCCTTAAGTAGGAAAATGGTACAAAAATATTTTAGAAAAGTTACTATGATGATTCTACGAAGAAGGTGAATTACAAATGGTAAAACCAATGAGGAGATCAGAACAGCTGCAATCCAGAAATCAGATGATGGGTTGGTGGCAAACAGTCCTAAAACAAGTCTCATGAGTAAAGGTCGCATGTCAGGTCAGGTGTCAGGGTTTAAGGACTGCAAGACAATGGAGCTATTTCAAGGACAAGGAAATGGAATAAAGAAGAATGGAAAACTAAAGAGACAGTTGAAAGACTGAGCTGATGTTGGGGTCAAGCCCAGGATGGCCTTATGAGAGAGAAGGAAGCTTGGCCTAAAGGTGGTTTCTTCTCACTGATATACCTGGAAGACTGGGATGGTTCCCTGGACAAAAACTGGTGATCCACTAGCAGTCCCTGCTCCAGGCAGGGAAATGAGAAGACACTCAGTTTATTTATAGACATGGGACTTCCCTGATAGCTGGAGGAAGATGCCTGTACTCCACAAGTGTATTTGGCAGGGAGATGAAAGGTGGATCCATGAGCTTGGGAAGAAACATGGTGGCCTACCATAATAAGGGAGAAAAAGACCAACCTGAAATTAGTAGCACTATTTGCAGACAAAAAGCATTAAATTGCTTTAAAGTATCCTCCTTTTCTTACTGCAAGAATTTATTTAACAAATTCCTCATAACATATAGCAAAGATAAATATCCTCCCAATCTCTATGGAATTAACAATGAATTCTAAGTATACAGGGCCAACAAAGAATGCAAATAATCATGATTTACTATATTTCAGAAAAGCTTTCTCCTTAATGGTCTTCATGACACTAAAAATACAAATGTTCATGTCATTCCCTATCATGAAGAAGAAAAATATCTATGGAGTAAGACTTAAGGTTATTTTTCTTTTAGCAAAGAGTTACACAGAATTTCTGATGCTTTCTTTCATTTTCAAAACCAATATTGATATCAGGATAAATTTTATCTTCAAACAAGTTATTTTTTAGGATATCAAAAAGCTCTTAATGATTTTTATGGTCAGAAAAACTTTTTTTTGCTAATTTCTGGAGATAAGTGTAATGGAATTTAAATCAAAAGTGGGGCACATCATTCCATTTTAACAAGGTATTCAGAAGTTTCTCATCTGTGTTACTGAAAAACAGGACCATCTAATCAAGTTTTCCTTTAAGGCATCCAGAACCTTTCCAGAGATTTTTTTTTCTTTACTATCTTACTGCAAGTAAAAATAGATTTTTATTAGAATCAAAAGCACTTCTAAATTAAAGGTTATGAATCCTGTGGAGACTTACATTTCACATGTCTTTTTAAAACCACCAAGATCTAAAAGTTAATTTTGTAATGAGCATGGCCAAGTCACTTTTCATCTAACGAGTGTCTGGCAGCAGTGTTCACATCTGCTCTTTAGTCATAGGATGAGAGACACAATGGGGGAAAGCTGATGGAATGTTTACTTTACCAGTCTCCCCAGTGGTCTACTAGTAATAATAGTTGCCTTTCCCCATTAAAGATGAAGCTG